AGTTTGGGGTTTAGGGGTTTGGGGTTTGGGTTTTTTTTCCCTAAACCCTAAACCTTCAACTCAAAACCCTAGACCCTGCTCAGGCTTCGGGGAAGGGCTTTGGGATGCCTAAGCGTCTTTGGGCCCCTACATTCAACGCTTTCCCAATTCCAAACCCCTCACCAACCTTCCCTTTTTGTGAACTGAGGGCTTACGGCTAGAGTTCAGGTGCCGATATACACGATGCTTGAAGTCAAACCCTAAACTCCCTAAACTCCCTCACCCAAAACTCCCTAAACTCCCTTAACCCCAAGCCCTGAATAGAGCAACAAACCTAAAAGCCCTAAACCTTGGGATGTTCCCCCTTATACTAGCCCTTAATAGGGGGGTACTTTCATCCTGATGAAGGACTCTTAGTATAAGCGAGAACATCCCAACCCACCACTCAAAAGCAGAGCTCCCAAACGAGGACTGCGACCCAAGCATCGCTGCGCGGGCTTTGCGCCGGGGCTACGGCCTTGGGAGGCAGGGCTTAGGGGGTTAGGGCTTTTGGGCTTGAGGGTTTAAGATTTGGCCCCTTCAAGATCCTGCGGGGTGCTAGGGCTTAGGTAGAAAGACCCGGCCTACCTAGACCCCAAACCCTAAACCCTTAACCCCAAACCCCAAACCCTAAACCCTGAACCCTAAGGCCCTAAACCCTAACCCTAAACCCTAAACCCTTTTTTAACTCAGGACTGCTGAGGATAAACCCCGTAAACCCTAAACCCTAAACCCTAAACCCTAAACCCTAAACCCTAAACCCTAAACCCTAAACCCTAAACCCTAAACCTAAGCTCAGGCCAGGTGCCACCTAGCTCAGCATCGACAGCTTCCTCCGAGGATGTCACCGGCTCTTCGTCGGTCCTAATTGGGTTTAGGGTTCAGGGTTTGGGGTTTGGGGTCTAGGACTTAGTGTTTTGGTTTGATTATGGTTTAGGGTTTAGGGTTTGGGGTTTAGGGTTTAGGGTTTGGGGTTTAGGGTTGAGGGTTTCGAGGCTTGACCCCTGGAAATAAAGTATGTCTTTTCGTTTCCATGCTGACAAAGCTCAAGGCACCTCTCCCACACGCAATGAGCCCAAGTCTGTGCAGGCTCAGGGCTTAAGCTTACAGGATTCAGGACACGCGCTTGAATGAAACAGGTTGCCTTTCGTCCACCTAGGCTAATTATGCGAAATGGCTTAGCCTGGACATTTTGTTGCAAGTCAGGTTAATCCGCAGTTGATGTTTGAGGGTTCGTCGTGAGGGTGGATGATGGAACCCTGAATATAAGCCTACCCCCCCTAAAGTTTTCGGGTCCCAAATAAGCCCACTCCTTTGCCAAGCAGCCAGCGTTTCATCCCCGTCTTTGCGCAGGAGTGGACGCAAAACTGTTGATCCAAGCATGCACTGACGAACGGCAGCGGCGTATAGATCTCAAACCGACTGCGGCTATGAAGCCCACAGGTTGTCTCCCAAGTAGAATAGTTACTGGGGTTTAGGGTTTGGGGTTCAGGTTTCGGTACCAGAAGAGGACACGCAAACTAGAACAGGCATGTTCCACCCGTGTCAAAAGGACCCTGTGAGAGGCCGAGACAGGCTAACAGTCGACAAGGGGCAAACAAACGGTTTGCCCAAGCTCTTAAGAACCCCAAACTTTCTCAAGCTGGCTTAGTGAGGTGTGTGTGTGTATCACATGCATGTGTAGAACTAGTGGTACACTTGTCATAGCCTTCACCTGCAGAGCTCAGATTTAATTTTCATCTGAGGCCCCTCACGTCGGATTCCTGCGCGACGTAGACGACAATGCGGGCGCTGACGGCCGGCTCGGTCAACCTTTGCAGGGGTAAAAGGAGGGACCCCTAGAAGGGACCCTTTGTCTTATTCCCCTACATAAACCCTATATGGATACCTTAGATCGTCCCCATATACTTATAAGTAGCCCCCCAAATAGCCCCTAAGCAACCCCTAAGGTCCCTTAGAAGGGCCCCTCCATTAGTCCTTTGCTAGGCCCGAAGCCCTGAAGACCTGAAGCCCAGTACTCCTCTCCCATGTAAACTGGAGAAGCGCCAAACCGGAAACCCTAAAAAATATGCTTTTGTCATGCTCAACATGTGCAACTGCGCCACTCTAGCCAAACCACCAACGCTTCCGAATACTATATGGGGTCGACAAGGCAGCTAACCTAGCAGCGACAATATCTGGGTAGCCGTTCGTCCTAGACACGAGCTGCGGGCAGTCTGGCGAAGGAAGCATGGCGTAGGGTTTTTAAAATAGGGCTGAGTTTTAGTCACTCCCTTTAACCACCTTGTGGACTAGGTCTCTCTCTCGCTCTCTCTCTCTCTCTCTTTGTTATGCTTCTTGTGGGGTCGAGAATAATTAGAAGCTCCCAGTTCAGTGTGTAGGGACTGTATGAAACCCAAAGCCCTAAACTTTAAAACTTAAGACAGTTCATAAGTCCACAGGCAACTTCAGGCAGCGCGCTTCCTGAGAGATCATGATTGCTGGGGATAGGATTTACGGTTTGGGGGGTTTTAGGGCTTAGGGATCCTAAGTATGGGGCCCTTAATTTGGGTCCCTTGTTATATCACCCTTATACACACTATATATACTGAGGGCCCATAAGTCGGGTTCCTATACTCAAGGGCAAGGGACCACACTAAGGGCCCAGGGTTTAGGGATCAGGTGTGGTCTTACCACGCCTAGCCGCGGCACTGCACCGGCATGGTCGACTCTAGGAGAGACTAATTTATACTTACATGAGCAAACCTAAATCGAGATTTGGGGCTTCATGGTTCAGAGTCGGAGCTTAGGGGCAAAGCAGGTATCTTCCGCCGCTGTACCGTGGCGCTCTTGGGTGTCCCCCTTTGGGGTACCCGAAAAACCGGGCAACGCGGAAGCGCATCGCCCTCCCCTCGCGAGGGATCGCATGGTCCCTAACCTACCAAGGGTCACACGCACCATCCTAGACCTCACTTGAGTTAAACCCTAAACCCACGCAAACCCCAAACCCCAAAAGAACCCTCAACTGAACACTAAACCCTAAACTCCATATAAGCCGTCTGAACCCTATCTCCCTCTTGGCCCTGTAGGCCCCACACACCCTATTCGCCCTAAACCTAAGCCCTAAACGCCTACAACAGACCTCAACAGCATCCTCACTCGGCATCAGCAAGGCCATACAGGGACTGACACGCTGCAGCCGCCTCAGGGCAAGTAGGGGTTCATCTCAGGTTTAGGGTTTAGGGGGTTTAGGGTGGGTTTAAGGTTTAGGGTAATCTAGGGGTTGTAGCTTGGGCCCTCAAGGTTGTACCCTTGGGTTTTGGGGACCCCTTTTAAAGATCCTTGGTGCCGAACCCTCTTAGATCCTTCCCTTCGATCAGGGTCAGCGTCAAAAGCTTCTGCTCTGACAGAACTGCTAGTGTTTAAAGAAAATTACAATAAATAAACAAACAAATATGTATATATATATATATATATATTCTTATTTATTTATTTATTTATGTATTTATGTTTATATTTCTTTATGTATATGTGCATATATATATATATACATACACATGTTTCAAAAACCCTCTCACTGCTCTCTTGGTGACCGTTTGGTACATGTCTCTGAGGAGATGCTGCATCGCAAGCCCAAGCCTGACACGACACCGAACGCCAAGTGCATCCCAACCCTAAACGCTTATCCCTTTTAAACGCGAGGAACCCTAAATCCTAATACCTCAGACCCTAAACCCTAAACCCTAAACCCTAAACCGCACAATGCCTCAGCCAGCGCAGCTTCCTCCTGGGTGCAGGGTGGGCGATGCAGCAACCAAACTGTGCCAAGACCCCTATAAACTCTACTGGTTTAGGGTTTAGGGTTAGAGTTTAGGGTTTAGGGTTTAAGCCTGAAGACGCCTAAATCTACCCTCTTCTCTGTAGGAAGCTAAGAGCCCTTTGAGCAGTGTAGTGTAGTAATATCCTACAAAAAGCTAAGTCTTGGGTTGATAAAGGTTAGCCGTAGATCTGCCTTGAGAATTAGCAAACTTTGGGTACTTGAAGGTAGCGCTATCCGTACCCAAATAACAAGGTGATAACCATAGTTGCCCTACTGATAACCCCCGCTTGTGAGTACCCATGAACCTCCAAGCATAGGTTGCCTTAGGATCCTACAACTGGGGGCTTAATTATAGCGTACTCGAACCTACAGAAAAGCAGGCGTTGGGTTCACCAGGTACTGCAAAAGCCCTCTTCCAGCAGTGTTTGGAACGATGTTGATCGGAAGTCGTGGCGTGCGCGAGCTATTTGTGATAGGTGCGCAAGCACTGCTTGAAGCTGAATAGCATCGGAGCCTGACACCCATGCATTAGACCCATTGCTGCAAGCAATCTGAGCAGAGAAGCCTGAAAACTCGAACTGCAGGGAAGCCACTGAGATGTGATTAATAGTTGCGGGCCAGAACCCCTCAACCCTACACGTCACAGCCTGACAGCCTGGAGACCTAGACTAGCTCGCCTCCTCCAGCGAAAGTGACGCGGACCCATCCTGTCAAAACTTGCGGGTATAGGGCTTGTAGGGCTTCAGGGATTTAGGAGCTTTAAGGGGCTTTGAGCGTTTTAGGGTTCAAGAGTTTATAGGGTGTACTGGAAAGCAGCCTCCCAAACGTCGTTTGCTGGGTTTAGATAAGGTGGCAGACACAATGCCATCTCAGAGATCTCGTTGATGCTAGCTTGAAGTGGAGCGTGGGGCGAATAGGGCGGTCGCCGATGAGGTTTCAATCTGTTCGCATCCTTGCTTGTGGGCATGGGAGCGTACACATGCGAATCGCCCATGGCGACCATGGCCCATGACATCTTGCATTCGGAGTCAACCCTAAACCCTATACCCTATGCCCTAAACCTATCGGCTTAGGGCAAAACAGGGTTGCTGCCACGCTTGAGTCAACAGGTACATACAGTTTACTACAGAAACACCGTCCACCTACTGCCTACCCCCCAAACAAAGCCCAACAGTTGGGATGTGCCCCTTTATACTAGCAGTCCTTGATCGGGATCATGGTCCCCCGTTTTGCAATCCCAGTTAAGGGCTGTCAGTATAAGAGGGAAATTCCCAAACCGATTCATCCCACAAACCTGTATCTGGGCGACCAAATGAACCCGGACAAGGGTTCATTGTCCAGGGATTATAGTACAGGGCTGCTGATCCCATTTTTTGGGGTTCATGTGGCCCTAAACCCTAAACCCTAAACCCTAATTAAACCCCAAACCCTAAACCCTAAACCCAAGCCGATGCAAGCCCAAGGTAAGCCCCGCTCACGCCTCCTCTTCGACCGCCTCGGCGCTGGCGGATGCCGCAGGCTCCGCACCCTCGGAAGGCCCCGGGGGCTCCTTGCAAAAGAAGGGGGCTTCTGAGACAGCACAGTTCTATGTATAGAAAGGCCATGCAAACACGACTATGAGCCCGAAGAACCTACAAGCCTCTACTCTTGGTGGCCTCAGCAGGGTCTATAGGGCTTCGTGTATTGGATATTGACTTGGGAAGCTGTCCATTTCCTGCACAAACCTTACACCAAATGAAGCACACCTAGCAAGCTGATGGGAGTGTAAGTATTGTGCCTATTCTTCATAGTTCTACTACTTTTATTGCTACAAATGGTCTTACTATTAAAGCTTGTGTTACTCGTATCACTACTTATTACAACTACTATGACTAATCTTTTGAATATTCTTGTTATCGTTATTCTGAATAATACATATATATATATATATGTATACAGAAAGAGATGAAGCACACTTAGCAAGCTGATGGGGGCCAGCCTCAGCAAACGGGTTGCCACTGCACTCGGCATCCAACCGTCGGCGATAGTAGCTGGCGGCCTGGCAGAATGTTAATGTTGGGGATTTAGGGTTTAGGGTTGGGATGTTCCCGCTTATACTGACAGTGCTTAATAGGGAATACAGTACCCCCCCCCCCCCCCCCCCGCCACTATAATCCCTACTAAGGACTGCTCGTATAAGCGGGAACATCCCAAGGTTAGGGTTCAGAGGTTGGCTGATGCCAAATATAAGGGCTTTCGATGTCGGAGAGCCTGAAGATGTAACCGATCCTGAACGGCATTTCCCCTGTAGAGTACTGCCGATTGCCTCTTCCTGCAAGTCTACGAGACACGTGCTCAGCATTGAAAATGCTGCAAGAACGTGAGTGCCGGCATTTCATGTCCAGAACATGCACAAACCGTGTCAACACAGCGATTTGGGATTTGTTGTCTCCAATTTCGGGAACATCTAGGGTTGAGGGCTTTCGACTCTCGCCCTCACACAAGCAGGCAAGGATTCGTGATCAGGGTTCAGGGATTTCGGTCTCCCTAAACCCTAAACCCAAAACCCAAAACCCTGAACCCTGAACCCTAAACCCTAAACCCTAAACCCTAAACCCTAAACCCTAAACCCTAGACCCTAAACCCTAAACCCTAAACCGAATATTCGCCATGCAGTGCCGCCCCCTTGGCCTGCCTTCGACCCATATCGCTCGGCCAGGGTGGGCATGGCCTTAGTGACCGTGGGGTTTAGGGTTGAGGGTTTAGGGATGGGCCTTCTTGCGGCAAACTGATTTAGGGGTCTAGTTTACCTGGAGGCACAGTTCACAGTTCTGAGAACAACCTTCCACCATGATTCTGCAAGTGCTTCACATAGAGGCACCCTAAGCCCTAAACCTTAAACACGCCCTCCTCTTTTCTTCGCAGCGTGCAGAAAGCTTCAGTTCCTACACACATGGCGCAGGGGCTGGAAAGAGAGAACTTTTCCTTTCGCAGGCTGCAACCCTTCAACCCTGAACTCCTACACGCTTCCAGACTTCCAACACCCAAGCTCCCAACCCTAAACCCTATAAACCCTAAACCCTATAAACCCTAAACCCTACAAACCCTAAACCCTATAAACCCTAAACCCTAAACCCTTTCTGTGGCGGGCTTGAGGTCCCTAGACCCTAAACCCCTAACCCATAAAACCCTAAACCCCAAACCCAAAACCCTAAAGCCCAAACCCTAAACCCTAAACCCCTACCCCCTCTCAGGGTGGTGGGGCGGGCGGTGGCGCGGGTGGCAGCGGCAGCGCTGCGGGGAAAGAAGTCCCATGAGCGTAGCCGGCCTCAGCCGCCAAGTGTGTTGCTTCTTCCACAAGCTACCCTAAACCCTATAAGCCTAAACCCTAAACCCTTAACCCTTAACTGCCCGAAACCCTAAACCCTTAATCCTAAACCCTAAACCCAAACCCTAAATGAACCCTTCAGGCTTGTGAAGATGAAAAGGGGTTTAGGCATCCAGGGTAGTTTTGGCATCTTGGATCTTACCTTGCAATGCGGGGTTTAGGATGCAGGGTTTTGAGGGTTCTTTGGATGTGGGGATAAGGGTTTCTAGGGTTTGGGGTTGAGGGTTTTGGGATTCTAGGTATGTTTGTCTACAGGGCTCTTGAAGAACTGCCCATCCCATGCCCTTCCCCGGTCTAGAGTTTAGAGATTCGCCAACTGTTGGGTCATCAATGGGCTTGAGAAGCAAAGGTCGCAATCAGATTGTGGGGTGCGAAGCTTCGCAGCCCAAACCTGACCAAACTACACAGCAGATCCTGGCTCGCGACACTCGATGAGAGGACGTTGAGCTGACACAACATAGCTTCAAGATGGCCAGGGTTTAGGCCTGAATATTCGTGTCCACCTGAATCAACCGATACCGCCAAGGGGCCTCTCCTCCCCACCCCCCCACCCCTCTCAAAAAAAACTTCAACATCACTGGGGGGAGGTGGTACGTAAATCCGGAAGCAAAACACTTCCTAAACACTTCAGCCCAGGTTCCGATGAGACCCCTAAACCGCTAAACCCTAAACCCAATAAACCCAATATACCCTGAACGCTCAACCCTAAACCTTAAACCCTCAACCCCGAACTTAGACCCTATACCCTAAAGCCTCGACCCTAAACTTCTAAACCCTGAATCCTAAACCCCAAACCCCTAAACCCTTCTCTGGAGTGCTGGCCGGCACTGGCACCACAAAGTGCAGCCCCAGGAAAGCCACCGCGACATCGGCGCCGGGAGGCGCGCCTCGGGTGTAGGGTTTAGAGGGTTTAGGGTTTTGGGTTTAGGGGTTAGGGTTTAGAGGGTTTAGGGTTTGGGGTTTAGAGGGTTTAGGGTTTCGGGTTTAGAGGGTTTAGGGGGTAAGGTTTAGGGTTTAGGGTATAGAAGTGTAGGGTTCCGGGACATTGGGGTCTAGAGGCAGAGCTTTTTCCCTTGTCTATCTAGAGTTTGGGAGTTTCTGGTTTTGGGAGGTTTGGGGTTTTGGGGTTTGGGTTTTACTGGCTGACTGAGGGGTTTGGGGACTTGGGTCTGAGAGCCTTCGGTCTGTTTCTTAGCAGTTCGAAGGTGTGTGCCATGCGGAGAGGCCTCATAGCAAGGCCTAGAACTGGCCTACAACCAGGTTCAGGGTTTAGGGTTACAGCTGAAAACAACACCCAATTTCTGGTAGACAAAGGTACGCTCAGGAGCAGAACCCCATCAACCCGAAGTGCATTTCAAAAGTGAGCCCTGTGGTTACAGCCTCCGTGAGCCATGCATTCCATGGCCTATGCACGCAAGGTGTGTGAAAGAACTTGCAGCCACAAACCACGCACATCAAGTGGCCAAGTTTTGCACACCCCAGGTTTTCAGGGCCTGCTGGCACCGCGATCTGCACCTCATGGACTGGCTCCTGAAAGGCTGTTGGCCTAGGGGTTAGGGGTTATGTTTTGGCACCAGGCTAGCCACAGCACGGCGGGGTTTGAAAGGTCGGCTTTGGGAAAAAGTAGGAAAACTTGAACCCCATGGCCAGGTCAAGCTCAAGGGTTTAGGGCAGTTTAGGGTTTAGGGGTTAGGGTACACGATTCAGGGTTCAAAGGCTTGCAGGGCTAGGTTGTTGGGTCTGCTCGTAGGTTTATAGCACGTCTACGGTTCTGGTAACCGGAGCGTGGGGGTGCGGCGTATCTATGTCGCATAAGGTCTGGAGAGTGAGTTTAGAAACATCTCTTGCAGGAAATTCAGAAGGTTTGAGTATGGGTCCGGATCTGTTTTTGAGGGTTTGGGGTTCATTATCCATCGTTGTAGGATTCGTTGAGGTATGGCCGAGGTTGGTTCATCAAGGCCTTAAACGGCTCTGGCCCCTGTATTCCCGAAGGATTCTTCGAATGGATGTGCAAAGTGGGAAACCCTTAACCCTAAACCGTAACCTCTATGGTTTCACGCTCAAGTCCCGCTAAAGGGCTTGAACTTTCAGCTAGAGCTTGGAAGCTGCAACGCAAGCTGCTGATTTCATGCGGGGAAACGAGGCCTATCGCCGGGTTTCTGCTGATCTCAGGTCCTTTCAGCATCAGCTGCTCAGGGTGACAAGGGTGTCAGGATTCGGGGGCTCAGGGTTTGGGAGTCTAGCATTCACAGGGATTAGGGTCTTTTTGAGGGTAGAGCACCACAACAAAGGAAGTAACATACCATTGTGCCTTCATCCTCGTAAAGCCCACTTATAATCCCTTCACGTCCCAGACTCAGACACCTGGCGCTCCACGTCTGCAACATTGCATGTAACCTGTTCAGCCTGGTTGCAGCACAGGCTATATCGATTATGGTCTTCACGACTTTCTAAGGTAACCCAGTAACCATCTCATAATCAGGGTACCCCTTTTGGGGGTTGGCTGCTGTATAATAAGGGAACCCAGAACCAAAAAAATGGCAAAGGGTACCACTGGGCTACCAAGAGGGTTATTGATACCCTACACCCTAAACCCTAAACCCTACACCCTAAACCCTATTCAGTTTCTTAGGACTTCTCCGCCTTCTTTACATTGGGTGCCAAGCCTGCGCTAGGGGCATCGTCTGGCGGAGGGTCCCAGCTGCGGCGGCAAACATCACCTGTGCCACGCTGGCACTCAGCCCCGGGATTTGGGTTCTGCCCTAAGCCCTAAACCCTAAACCGCACAAGCTTCAACGCCCCCAACGCCGCACCGGAAAGCACTCTTGCCTGACGGCATTTGTTGGCGGCTTGCGTAAGAGCACCCCATCCCTCTGACCTAAGGCTATATTCCCGTCATTAACCATGGCTGCCTAAGCAAAGAGCCCACGCGAATTCAACTCAGGCTAGACTAGCTCGACATCCCTAAACCCAACACACACTCCTACGTGACCCTACCTGGGGGACGAAATGGACCCTAAAAAGGTGTATGGTCCATATACCTTTAGTAGGGATAATAGCATAGGCAGATGATTCCAAGTGTAGGGTTCATGTTGAATCTATTGGGATGTTCCCCCTTACACTAACAGTCCTTTTTGGGATTATCGTACCCCCGATTATAATCCCTCTTAAGGACTGTTAGCATAAGGGGGAACATCCCAATGAATAGACCTGAATAGCAAGGATCATGGTCGCATCCGCAACATGTGCCTCAAGGAAGCGGCTGAAGTCTTCGGAGGCTGTCAGGGCAGACCTGTGCACAACCGCCCGACTTCCCCCTTAAACCCTCAATCCTCAAACCCCCCCCCCCCCCACCCGCCCCCGCCCCCCCCCCCCCCCCCCCCCCCCCCCCCCCCCCCAACCCCCCCCCCCCCCCCCCCCCCCCCCCCCCCCCCCCCCCCCCCCCCCCCCCCCCCCCCCCCCCCCCCCCCCCCCCCCCGCCCCCACCCGCACCCCCCCCCCCCCCCCCCCGAAAAAACATACATAAATAAAAATCGGGTCTGGACGCCAAGCCCAAGACCCTGCTTCAGGGTTTACTTTGGTGTACCTTGGGGAACCAAAGGAACCCTAAAACTGGGGTCATCTACCAGATACTACGATCATTCCTCTTAAGGTTTTTGAACTTTAAACTTTTTTGGGGGGTTTATTAGTAGGGTTTCGGGTTTAGGCTGCAGGGGCACGCACTTCCCAAGGTCAAAGGATGGCTTGTAAGTGGACTGTCTGAGTTTAGGATTTATAATCAGGGATTGGGGTTTAGGGTTTATAAGGGTTTAGATATGGTTTAGAATATGGCTCAGAAACTCGGACCTTCCTCGGGGGACCAAATGAGGGTTTCCGCAATTAAGGGGTACCTCTTTGGGTTCCTCATGACAAGGGAATCCTCCTATGCGGGGTAATTATTCGGGGTCCCTGTTCTTCGTAAACCCCCAAATGAACCCTATAGAGTTGGGGCACCCTACACTGCTCTTTCTTCCCTGAAGCCATCGGATCCTCACAGATCCTTCCACAGTTCCCCACAACCCGCTTCTTGGTGCTTCGGCTCTGACTCATCCCTTTTCGCTGCGGAGGGGTGGAGGGTCTTGAGTCTGGGCTCAGGGAAAGGGCCTTAAGCCCTATATCCCTACCACCCGGAGCCCCAACCCCAAAGCCCATTAAGAAAAGCTCGCAAAGATGATGCACTTCGGGAATCCTGAGCCGAAACCCTCCCTCCCTGAACCCAAAGTGGTTTTCGGGTTTGGGTGTGGGAGGTTCCCCCGTATACTAACAGGTCCTTAATGGGGATTGTGATAGGGGGTACTAAAACC